TTCATACCAGAATAAACTTTTATGTTTATTTCTAATTTGTCATGAACTGCAGAAGTGTCCCCATCCATGTAGATTCTGATGAGTAAATTAGTTAATGGATTGTGTGTTCTCTGTCCCAATGAGTTCAGGCACATCTGCATATGAGAATCACCTGGAAAGCTTTTAAAATACATCACTGCCTGGGCTTCCCTCTGATTTAATTGGTTCGGGGTCAGCCCCAGACCTCACCCTTTTTTAAAAAGCTCCCCAGTTAATTCCAGCAAGCAGGGGGAGTGAGATTCAATGTCTAATGCCTGGGGCTCTGCCTTCCAGCTGGAGTCAGCTTTAATTAATCTCCCACTTTAATTCTGTGATGTATATGTCATGCTCTATTATATTTTTGCCTCAGATATATTTCACTGAGCAATAAAAATAAAGGGAGAACAGTTGGTGGAAATTTACTCAAGAAATTAGGTTTGTCATTAATACCAATGACGTGCCATCTGGAGAACAGTACGGTTGTGTGACTAAAGAGTGTTTTCAAGGGGTGCGTAATTTTTATTATTAAACCCGTTTGCAACAGCATTTAATGTGCGAAGCATGTATTTTAATTAGAGAAGGGTGCATGCTAATGAAGCCGTTACTTAAGAGTTATCCATTATCCCTGGTGAATCTTCACCCTTCACCCACGTTTGGATCATCCCAGGGGAATACCCGGAGCTCTGCCGTGTCCCAGACACAGTTCTGGTGCTGAAAACCCGAGCTGACTTGATGACCATCCCACGTGGAAGACAATAATCTTCCAACTTTTAAGGCAGATTTTTGCTTCTCGATATGTAAGCGGATCGGCTTGGGGACATGGTCACCCCGTCTTTCCCTGGTGCTGTTGAATGCACACCCACATATGCACATCGAGACACTCGGAGTTCTGTGAAAATGAAGAAGCAGCAGCTCGTTCTGGTCATGATTTCTGCCACCATTTTGGTGATGTGAGTGGCAGTGTGCCTTGTTTTCCATTTGTTAGCTGGGTAACCGACACTGGGAGATGGGTCTGTACTTTGAAGTTCATGCAGCAGTATTTTAACTTTGGTGCAAGCCATCCGTGCTTTGAACAGTTTGCAACAGGGAAAGGCAGACTTTGGCTGAAACATTTTAATGTATACGTTGGGCCCGAGTGATTATGAGAACATTCTCCCCTGAACTGCACATGTTCCTGGTGATTCACTGTTCCTCTCAGCATTGCCTTCCCCGGTTAGAAATATAAATATAGATTTCATTCCAGGAAGCAGCCTGTAATAAAAGCTACATGCTGGAATTCAGTCCGCAGGCTATTCAATTTTATACATCAAACTGGAATGCTCCCTGTGGGATTTTAATAAATTACTTTGGGATTTTTTCCCTTCCAGAATACAAAGAACATGATGTCCAATAAAAGGCTCAGGTATATTGTAAAGGTCACTGCATGCCACAAAAAAAATCAACCGCTGCAGGATACTGCAGCTTGAAAGTGCTACAAGTTCAATGGAGGAACTGTGTGTTTTATAAATCATTCTGACCAGAAGAGCAATAAATTGGGTTTCTCCATCCAGAAGCACAGGCCCCATTTTTTTCTATGTGCTGGAGGTGAACAGGTCTTTAGAGCCTTCTGGGAAAGAAGAGGGGTCAAGGACATCTGGTGCTCTGGCCTTACTCCCTCTCCGTGTGGCCTCCTCTGCATTGTTACTAAGTGTCACCACCCTGGTGACCCCAACGAGTCAATTCAGGACAACCCAGGATGCAATCTGATAGAATACTCAGAACCCCTCACGAGGCCACTTTCTATTATGCAAAGGCTCTGGTCAGGCAAAACAGAGCCCCGGTGGTGAGCCCAGGGCAGTTGCAGCTTCATCACGCTCTTCCGCAATGCAATTCCTGCGGACACAGGGACTCAGACCACCAGCGATGCAGAATGGCAGGAGGATTGCATCAAGTATGTCATGGGTATGCACACCCTGACACATGTGCAGCCAGAGAGGCTGCCTGTCCTCGGGACACAGTACGTGTGAGAGAACTTCATGGGGCAGTTCTGAATGCTTGCACATGGTCGCAAACACTGCCTTCCTCTTCGTGGCCTCTGTGTGTGTTGCCTAAGCAATGTGACCCCTCATGTACACTTCTGATCACGTGGCTGAGTCCAGAGTCTGTGTTTTCTTAAAGGACTCAGCATTGGTTTTGTTGTTGTTGTTTGTGTGTGTGTGGAAAATGTGAGAAGTTACAACAAATACTTCCTAGAATCATAAAATTTTCCAGGTTTCCATTCCATGAGCAGAGTGGCTTATTTGCTGTTCCTTTAGGATACTTAACCTGGTCTTAGTAACTTTACTGTTCATGGGTCACAAAATTACCAAATGAATTACCAGAATGAAGAAACAAACAGAAACAGGATTTTGAAAGCAAGGTGAAATGATCTAAACGATTTCAATTCTTAACTGCAACTTTTAGAAAATTCTGTTACATTTATGATGGGTGCACCAGGTCAACACACTCCATGAGCAGTGGCGATACTGCTGTGGACAGACTCTCAGCGTTGTGAGCAAGGAAACGTTCGTGTTTCAGACCATTGCAGTAGAGTGAGGTACACGTAGAAGTGTGTCCTCTGGAAAAGGTATGCAGGATTTCCGTGTTTGATGAGTGTAGGTGCATATGCGACATATGAGATAAATGCAGATCTACGTGTGAAGGATGAGATAAACAGACTGTATGTGTAGGCTATGAGATGCATACATCTGTATGTGGTAGGAGATCAATAAGGCTTTAGCAGAATAAGACAAATGTAAACACAGATTGACATGCTGTGGGTTAGGGCTTTGATTATAGGCTGTGGGGTAAGAGGCAGACTTGGGTGCTGTAGGGTAGGACACACACGTTTATGTGCTGTGGGGGAAGATAAACATGGACTTATATGGTATGGAGTAAGAAGGTATAGGTAGATATGCTGCCGGGTAGAACCAGTGCAGATACCTAGGCTGCAGCGTATCCTAGGCGTAGGTCTCTGTGCTGAGGGAGGTAGAAAACCTGGGTTTATGTGCTGCGGGTGAAGATGACCACGGATTTCTACGTTCTGGGATCCGAGACAATTGATTTATAGGCTGCTGTAGGCTGCAGTAAACATACTGTGTGGGCTGTGGGATCAGACATGTAGATTTCTGTGCTGGAGAACAAGTGAGACACCGAAGCTGACTGTGGGAAACTGGGCCCATAATCACCCCTTGGCTCTGATGGAGTAGCTGGTGGGGATGGACGTGCCAGGCCACAACACTTGAAAGAAGACAAAATTGTTCATATGCTGCTGACACACTGGAGGCCTCCCTCCCCTTGCCATCTAAAATATGCAGAAAGTGTTGGTCTGTATCCATAGGCAAATTATGTTTGCCTTAAGAGCAGCATGTGCAGGTTCAGTGTCCTGTATGATGTATTCTTTCTGAAGTACTATGGTTTTTACTAATAAATTGACCACTTAAACTGAGAAAATACCTTTAAAGCTTTCCAGTTTTATGTACCTGTTGTAACATCTGCTTTCCAGCAGCAAAGAAGTGTTTGGTAATTCCTAGTCAAATAAGCTAGCAGAGTTAGAATTCTAGAAATTCAGGGACCACAGGTAGACTGGAGAGAAGAAAGGTGACTCAGAGAGAGATGCTGACTTTCCACTGTGTTTTTCGCAGAAGTGTTGTTTGTAGGAGAATGCCTAAGGGTTACAGTTAGCAGAAGCTTGCCCCTTGGTTCACAGGCGGCACCTTTTGCTATGGAGTGAGAGATGCAAGAAAAGCAACGAGAATGAGCAATAAACCTAGGCTGTCAGCTTTTGACCAGGAGCCAAGATTCTTATTGTTTGTATGTCAATATATAATATTCAGTTAATTAGTTAATTATGAAGGCAAAGAGACAGATATGTTCTAGCCACTGGTTCACTTCCAACAGTCAAGTGTGGGGCAGTCCGGAGATGGGAGAATGGAATTCAGTCCCTGCCTCCCACATGCACGCAGTGAGCATCTACTGCAGTCACCTACTGCAGTCACCTACTGCAGTCACCTACTGCACTTCAGAAAGCTCGACCGAAGGGGGGTGCACACTGAGCCCATGAACTCTGATCTGAAATGCAAGCACCCCAAGTCATAGCTTAGCCATTGCCCCAGACACCTGCCCCAATATTTGTTAGAGCTTACTTTTAATATATAGGGATATTAAAAAATTCGTGGAAAATGAACACCATGAAAAAGGTTTATTATGAAAACATTTTGAACCCATACTGTGTTTTTAATATGCATTTTCCATGCGCTTTTGAAACTACTTTTTAAGACTTGTTTTTTAAAAAAATGGAAGATAGTGAGAAGCCTAGAGGGGGAGTAAGTTTTTTTGCTTTGATTAAATTTAAGGTTTTTCTTATTTTTAAAATAGCTGGAAAAAAGTGAAGTGTTTTTTAAGATTAAGAAATTGAGACTTTACAGATCAGAAGCAGCATCTCAGTTTCCCAACGATGGGTCTGTCCTGTGCAAAGAAGAACAAATTAACAGGAGAAGGATTGTAAGAAAAAATCTTTGCAAAAATAATTATGATATAAAAAGATGTTACAAAAATTTTCTAATAAAGGAAAGTGTGTTTTCAAAAAACAACAAAAAATGGGCTGATTTGTCGTGATTCCTTAGAGACACGTCAGCTTCTCTCCACCAGTTCTGTCAGGCAGGCAGGTGTGGCTAGTCCAAGCAAGGTTCCTCCTGCCTGTGGAATGTCGTGGAAACCCTGCTGTGATATCGCTTGGGGGTGCAAGCATGCATATCTCTTCTTTATGGCATTATTTCAATTGCCCAAATACATTGGAGACATACACGAAGTTAATGCCACAGTCACACTTGGTTGTTTCCGGGCTCAGTCCACTGGCTCGCACGGAGACCCTGCGATGCTTTGTCTGGGCGGGCTGGCATTTCCCCTGCGTGGGTCTGTGCTGCTGTGCTGTCCTCTGACTTGCTTCCTTCTTCCCACGATAGCTTTGTGTCAACATGACCAATGAGAAGATGCACCACTATGTCAATGAAGTGCTCTTTCTACACGAGCAAGCGGAATGTGTACAAGAGGGAGTTGCCATGGAAACAACATATTCTCCTGGGAACCAGACTGGAGTTTTGGATTTTTTTTTCCAGGTATTCATATAATATAATTAGATACTTAACAGGATACATGCATTTAGACATCCTGGAGACAAAGAAATTTCTTTCAGGAGGGCTGTTTCTGAGGAATGTTTGAGATTCTGTGGCATATCGTTAACTTTTAAAATCTGTTGGAAAGCATGGTTATCTTTCACCTAAGAGGCATATGGAAAATTATCAATTCATTAAAAGGCCAAGAAACATCAGATTATTTTGATATAAAAATATTAACACTGTTGATCCAATAGGGTAAAATTCTGCTAGCAGTTACAAGTGCCCCAAGTATAAAATTCATTTTGCTATTAAATAAGTATCTCAGATGAATATCATCATAATATTTTTTATGTTGATATTCAAAGTTTATGAAATTTAAATTCTGAAAAATTGGCAGAAAAATATATGTGTGCATGTATGATGCCTAGGGTAAAGGGAGCTTGCCCACGACAGGTGACTTTGCTTGTCTTTGTTGTTTTTGTACTCTGCAATGAAAAACTCTGGCTTCGTATCTCTGTCAGATAAAACTGCATCGTAGAACAGTAGTCCCTCCATACAGGTATGGAAAAATAGTTTATGGCTTTTTCTTATATCTCAAAAACACTTGAATCTGAAAAACAGCATTCAGCTAGTCAGGGAACAGGGTATGCCATTTTCTACCCTCTCTTCCTGCAAAGCTGGGTTTCTCAGCTGCATTGCTTGATGCACCAACTTGTTAGGATTTGTAATTGCAGCCAGCGTCCTCATTCAGAGGTCTGACACTTGTCCGGAGAGCCTCCGCCACCCATCTTCCAGCTCACTCTTCCCTCCCAGGGACTGGCTCGAGGTTACTTCAGCCCTGCTTATCATACTTGCGAGTTCCTCCTTGGAGCAGTCGTTTTAATGGCAGGGTCTCATCCCTATGGGCTGGAAAGGAAGGTAGATGTTTCTGGCTGTCCCCTGTCTTTGACACCATTACAACTAGTGAGCAACATGCAAAGTAAGTGTGAGCCTTGCACGCTTTATTTTCTTTCTCTCGCTCGCTCTCTCGCTCTCTCTCTCTCCAGACATGCATGTTTTTCTATCAGGAAGCACTTGCTGTATTAAAAAAAAACAACTTGTTTCCTTTCTAGAAATTGTAGTCCACCACTCTTCATCAGCATTGCTCGGATTTGTACCTCAGTGGTTCTAGATGTTTCTGTCCCCCTGGGCAGTTATTTTCCCAGATGCTTACCGCACTTGTGTGGTGTGGCAGGTTTTGCTGCATTTGCTGACAGATGAAGCCTTCTGCCATTGAGGAGAAACTGTTTATGACAGCCTTTCACACAAAGCCACATAACAGTCTCTCCTACACCTTGACAATTGAAGAAATTAAAGCCCAGGGTCGATCTTTTTCTTATCACATATTTCTCCATGTCTAGTTTTTTTTTAAATTCAGATGTTTCCACAAGTTTTAAAGTCAGGAAAATTGGTGCCCACCATTCTTTCATGGCTTTACTGCAAACATGCAGAAAACGTAGCACTGAGGGTTTTTCTTTAAGTGGTTTATTCAATGTTTTGGAAAGGCAGAGAGAGAAAGAGAAATACACACAGGCACACACACACACACACACACACACACACACACACACACACACGGAGAGCGAAAACCCTCATGTCTGATCTTGACTGTCTCATTCTCTGAATGGCCACCACAAGCAGGATTATACAAGTTCGAATTCAGGGTCCAGGAGCTCCACTCTCATCTCTGTGGGTGGCAGGGAGATGAGTAGGTGAGCCATCCCTTGCTCCCTCCTGGGACCCACATTAGCAGGATGTTTGAGTCAGAACATGGAGGTGGAGCGTGAAGCAGTGTGGGCTGCAGGAATCCCCAGGGGCATCTTAACTGCTACACCAGACACCTGCCCACTCACACATTCCTTAAGAATTTGGAGGCAGTGCAAATTATGATGCTTACAAATGTCTTGGTAGAAACCAGCCATCCCAGCCCAGGAGACCTCAGCTTCGCTTGGGGAGCGCAATGACTTTGCTCTCTTGGTCCTCTGTTGTTAACGCTGAACTGGGGCCCTCTTTCTGAAACACGAATACCCTTGAAAGCCCTTCCCACCAAGTGAACGTCCTCAGCCCCAAAGAGCAGCTCTGCCACTGCCCTGAGCATCAACCACTGCAGACAACCTTGAAGCAGCCAATGTGCCCTGCTCAGCTTGCTCTGTGTGTGGCTGAGTCCTCACATGCAGAGAAAACATGCTGTGACATAGAGTGGCCTTCGAGTGGAGTGTCAACCTTGAACTTACTCCCCAGCAAATCAGTTGGTTATAGATACATATAAGTAATTGTTTCCTCTTTGAAGCAATGTGAACACAACCACCCTTAGCAGGTTCCTTGCATTGACTGTCTGCCTTGGAAACTGCTCCCTGTTTGTTCTAGAGACTTAGAACCTAGATTTCCATTTTTCACTCACCGCTGAGCTCTTGGAGACTCATTCTGGGTCCCTGGCTGTTCTAAGCCATACATAAACTGGCTGTTAGTCTAGCACTCCCAGCAATGGACCTTTTTCTCCAAATGTTCCCACTGAAACTCATCTTGTGATTGGTCACAGAAATCTCTCCTGCCGTGGATGGGCCTTCGTCCATGAGGTCCCTTTCCTGTGCTACTCACCCGCCCCCCACCTTCCTTCCTCTGCCTCCTTCTCCCCTTCCCAGCCAGGTTTGGGTTTCCCGGGTCATGCAGTGCTCTGCAGCTGCAGCTCTTGCATCAGTAGGTTCAACCAACCCCACCGCAAGGATGTCCCGAAGAACAGCACATCAACCCTGAACATGCACACGTTTCTCCATTCGTGTCCTCGCTCGCTGAGCAGTGGAATGGCCATGTAGGGTGTGCACATTGTGTTAGGTGTTGTGCGCATTCTGCAGAGCAGAGCGAGGAAGGACTGCCCGGTTGTGCGCACATCATCTGCCATTTCTAGGGAGCACTTGAGTGTCTGAGGATCTGAACCCACTCCCCTGTGTCTGGAGCGGCTCATCTCCGGAGACGGCCCTGTGCAGCAAGCCCATGTCAGCATGTGTTTTCCTCTGGTCAGCACTAACCCAATTCGTGCCCAAGGCCGACAGCCTCCAGACAGCTGCACGCAAACTTTAGATTTTCCTTTGTGTAACAGGAGACTCAGAAAGGCTCAAAACAATTGTAGAGCTGAAGCTGCGAAGAAATGGACCTTCTGTTAACCAAAATATGATATCTCAAAACTTCCTCTCACAGTGTTCAGTGTGAGAGAGAGATAGTAGGCTGCTGCACTATTAAACAGCATTTTCTTTCAGATGAAATTAACTTTACATCGTTACTTAAAACATACACACAACACACACACCAGTGAGTAAAAATAGAAGCATATTAAAAGCAACAGCTGATTTGTTTTCCTACTCTATATGAATGTAGTAAAAATAAGTGAGCATAGGGCCCGGCGCGGTGGCGCAAGTGGTTAAAAGGTCCTCGCCTTGCACGCCTGGGATCCCATATGGGCGCCGGTTCTAATCCCGGCAGCCCTGCTTCCCTTCCAGCTCCCTGCCTGTGGCCTGGGAAAGCAGTCGAGGACGGCCCAAAGCTTTGGGAACCTGCACCCGTGTGGGAGACCCGGAAGAGGCTCCTGGCTTCGGATCGGCATAGTATCGGCCCGTTGCGCTCACTTGGGGAGTGAATCATCGGACGGAAGATCTTCCTCTCTGTCTCTCCTCTCTGTATATCCGCCTTTCCAATGAAAAAATAATAAAAATAAATCTTTAAAAAAAAAAAAAATAAGTGAGCATACACCAACACTAACAAAAAATCCAAATTATGCAATGGAGGGAAAATTCTCTCCTCTTAACTTTTGATACCAAGTGACTTTCGTTGTTGAAAATGAATATTGGAGAAACACTTCTCCTTCTTGGGATTCTGCCACAGTTTTTATGATTTAACATCATTATTGATTGTATTGCTTGATGTTTCTTATCCCATTATAAGTATGAAGTATTTCATATGAAAATAGATTTTCACATAGTCTGTAATTTTACTTTGCTTATTAAGATGAGAATACACTTTAAAAATAGCTCGTTCGCCTAGTCAGCAGATGCGCCTCTTCCCTGACGGACAGCCTACAACAGTGAGCAATGTGAAGGCACATTAAAAGCAAAGACCAGATTTTCTGAGTGACTATATAAATATAACAAAGCATGAACACACGTGAGTGTGCACTGACAGTATTACCAAGTTATGTGATAGAGGGGGGAGAAAAGCTGTATCTCTTCTTAAATTTCAGAAGCCATCTGGATTTCTGTCTTTGTTGGATGAAGAAAGTCAGGTGATTGGGTCGACGGACTCCAGCCTCGCCAGGAAGCTGCGCAGCCTCCTGGAGTCCTCCAACACGAATGCGGTTTACTCCCCCGTGAAGGACGGCAATGGGAACGTTGCCCTCAAGGACCCAGGCTCAGCATTCACTGTTATGCACTACGCAGGAAGGGTAAGTGAAGGGAACCCTGCCATTGCAGCAGGGAGAAGGGCTTCCATATTTTAGGGTGCATCGTTGTGGTCAGTGAAGACTGGTGCTCACCTAGATAATTCTGCTTTCCTGAGCTGTGTTAGCTTTGTGGGAACTGGTAGTGAGGCATGCCGTGTGGCACTTCTTGTAACGGCCACAGACTTGTAGCTCTGTGGGAGCAGAAGGCTCTGGCTGTGACACAGAGGGTGGGACAGACGTGGGGCTTCTGGGCTGCTTTGTCTGCAATGTGTGTGTGAGTGCAGAGGCGCTTTCTGTTTCAGCTGTCTGCTCTAAGGAAGACCCCAGCGTTCAGCTCTCTTTCCATCCTCTGCTTGGTCTCTGAGTCATGCTGCTTCCTTCCAAATCTCTGAGGACATCCTCTCCCTGACACAGTAATGCTGTCCCCCGCCTTGGTTTGGACTACCATCAGGCGTCTCTAATTGAGTGCATCTTATTTTTTTCCCCAATTCCCAACCATGACTTCTGTTCAGGTTATTTTTTCCTGACTTCTTAGTTTTCCCACACTTGCCAGCCCTCCTAAACTCCCTCACATTTAATCTTAAAGCATCCTGCTTGTCTTCTTAACAAGATCACATGCTATTCACTATTATGAAATCCGCATCCCTGTATTTCAGTCGGACTCCCATCTACAATGAATGTCTCACCTTTGAACCTGCTCTGGTGCGTTGGCAGCGTTTAGCACAGATGGGGGCGAGGCCCCTGTCCAGTGCCCTACGCTGGTTTCCGGTGTGTTTCCCTCAGAGAGTATGGAGCCCCAGTACACCGTACAAGCAGGAGCACAGAGAGCCCTCCCTGCTACTGTCAGCATTTCCCTTCAGTAACGGCCCCACCTTGTGTTCTGGAGAAGCTGGTTGACTGGTCACCACGGTGGATCTTCACTGTGCTTGCACCTGACTTTGTGCCCTTTTTCTTGGCCTGCTGGCAGCCATGACAAGCATGCAGCCTCTGGTACAGGGCTATCGTGGAGGCCAACCTTTGCTAAGCCAGCAGTTGCACTTGTCTCTTCTTCCCATTCAACTTAAGGAGTTATTTTTAAATAGGTGGAGAGATGAGGCAGCAAGGCAGACATGTGAGTTGGCACAGATTGGTTGATAAGGCAGAGTTTTGGAAATAATCAAGGTCTGTGTTTGAGCAATAGGTGGGGGACAAAGAGGTGACGATAGAAAAGGAAGAGGAATCTGGGGCCTGTGTGAAGTGAGACAGGCATGGCTTGGAAGAACCAGGAAGGTTCTGGAATGGTGACCAAGGCAGGATTGGGCTGTGTGGACTGAGAGGCAGTCCTGGAGAGTGAAGCAGCTTGCTGTTCAATCTCCTGTTTCTAGATTTGAGATATTTTAATGGAAAAACTGAAAACAATGCTGAAAATACTTGGTGATGAGATAAAAGTGGTTGGTTGTTTTTGGAAAACATGGGTATAGATCTAGAAATATGTGTCTTAAGGTTTGTACCCTGGGAAAGCATCAGAAAGATGGAGAAACTGAATCAGTGGGGAGAGAGCAATCACAGAATCCCTGGGGGAGGAGAAGGGACAGGGAGAAGAGGAAGTGGAGCTTGGGTGGTGTGACAGTCTGCCAGATGCTGTGGCCACCTGCTCATAGGTGGTGTGAGTGGCTAATGGGACATGGGAAGGAAGTTAGTGGAAAACTTCATGTGTATGTTCTTGGAAAGGTTCTAACTTTCACTTACATTTGAGTGAATTAGCCCTTAAAATTTCTTTATAGAAACAAGATTATTTTAGCCTTGTATATTGATTTCCTATTCTTTATTTGCTTCATGTAAATGTTTATTGAAATGTTTATTGCAGAGTTATTTTAATGATTTATTTGGAAGAGGAAACACAGAGCTAAAGAAAGTACCCATCACCCATCCTCGGGCTCACGCGTCCCGCACATGGCCACAGCGCTGGGCTAGGCCAAAGCCCCAAGGCCAGCATTCTTCTGGGTCTTCCATGCGGGTATGGGGACCTTTAATGCCATCTTCTGCTGCCTTTCCAGGAAAGTAGGAAACAGGATTGACAGGAACAGCTGGGACTTGAACCCGATATCCATATGGGATGCCAGTGCTGCAGGACCCCGCTAGTCCAGAGTTCCAGCCCCCCAAAATTATTTTTAAAACCTTGAAAAAGATGGAGTGATTTGGGGAGATTGCTTCCTCAAAGTTGCCTGGGTGTTGTATGCTAAGTAGGCAAGTCCTTGGCTCGCAAGCTGTTCTGATTGTGTGCTGGAAACTCACAGGATATTCTGCAGATGCGGACTCCGTGAACAGGAGGGACGTGCGTTTTGGAACAATTTTAAAAATTATTTGAAATCATAGTTATTAAAGTTATCCTGTAGTTTCCTGCTTATATTCTTTCCATTTTAATTGCAGTTGTTCTTAGAATACTTGGTGGAAGAATCAACAAACCTCTTAAGCTGATAATGACATTTTACTGAGTTCTGATACAGATATGCAAAACAGGAAAAACTAGCCAATGCTCTGGGGCAGAGAAACCCTCCTGGAGTCGTGAAATGTTCCCATAGAGGCACCTTGATTTTTAAGCAAGATTTCTGTGATTGGAGCCAACCCTGTGGTCTTACAGGAGACTTATACCCCATGGAGATCCTCCTGAGGACCCCGAGGCCCACTGGTCTGTTACAGCAGAGGTTGTGTGTGATCTGCGGTGATATTTCAAGCTGTTATGCATTTGCACCACCCAGCACATCTCCATGTGCTTTAATCTGAGCCGTTGCGCTTGAAGCAAAACCAGCCTGAAACAGCAGAGCATTCTTCATTTTGCGAATTGAGAAATGTGAAAATTTGCTTGTAGAATAGACATGCAGCTTCCTGCACACAGTGGGCTGTGCAACCCCAAGCTGATCCTTGCCAAGCAGTGCTGCCCTAGGGGAGCACGGTGGCCGTGACCATCTGGCATTGTTTTTGACCTGATCTTTGGTGGGATAGATGGGCAGGCATCCATCTCTCATCCCTGTGGGTGTGCCTGACCTTTCCCTGGATCATAGATACAGCAGGTGCCGATGCTGCCCTGCCCTGGCCCATCCTGAACACTGATCCGGCAGACTCTGCTGTGCCTCTGGGTCCAGCTTGCAGCAGAGGCTCGAAGGTGCTTTTAGAAATGTTTAAGCAACATGATTTGAATTTTAGCTCAAGATCTTCCCTAAACACATTTGAATTTTTCATTTCTCACAGGGGCGGTGCATAATTTTCTTTCTCCATTACAGAAATATTTTTAAGTAAATGAGAAGAGGCTGTGCATGAAATATTAACAAGATCTCATTAATGAGCATGAATTTGAATCAAAGGAGGCTTATGGGTTCTTCGTTATTTTCTTTTGGTTGATTATTTGCTTTAGCAAATTTTAAATCATGGATGGGATTACCTATTGTAGGGGTTGCACTTAAATATCCACTGGTGACTTAAATGACAGAAAAGCATTAAATCCAGAAATGTGTCTAATTTTATTGGCTTTTCAAATTAAAAGTCTTGAAGTGTAGGTAAATTATAGTTGGCTCTTAGAAGAGCTGAATTCCATTAAAGTGCTTTTGAATGGCCACTAATAAGGAATAGTATTTTAAAGTTTCTAAATTTTGATGTGGAAAAAGTGAATGGATTAAGAGATGAAAAGCAATCTGAAGTAATAAAAAGAAAGTTAATGAATATATTAATCAGAATGGGTCATTAGGCAATATACGATGCATATGCGCATATACACCTGTGTGAATCTGTGGCGAATGCAAGGAGGCCTGTTTATTGTCTAGCTGTAAGATTCTCCTTTGAAATGTTCTTGGGATCATTCCTTTTAGTTAATACAAAGCAGTTCTTTCCGGACAAGGAATTACCTCCACGGGTCTGGCTCCCGCTCCCATGTCCGTCTTGGCTTATGGGGATCGAGCTGCAGAAACTGCATTCTTCGGTCTCTGTCTTAATCCCTTCTCAACCCCAGACACTGGTGCGTGGTTGAACGGTGGCCTCCCCAAACACGCCTCTGTGTCCTCATCCTTGGAAGCTGTCACGTGCAGTGGTTTGCAGGAAGTGTCTGTGTAGCAGTACCTGACCTTGAGGACTCAAAGAGACTACGTGGAGTGTGTGGGTCAGGGAGAGCAGGTTCTGTGACTATGTGGGCAGCGGCTGGAGGGGTGAGGGAGGCCTGGGACCCCAGACCCTGGGAGAGGCGAGGGCCATTTCTCCCTGGACCTCCCAGTGCAGACCCCATTTAGAGAGAATGCACTTCTCTGCTAGGAGTCGGCCAGCTTGTGGGGCTGAAGGAGTCCTTGATTCAGTGCTACAGGTTATAGGGAAAGTATCATTGTAAGCCTTTCCTCGTCAGCACCTTCAGCCTTTTCCAGCTGTTTTCAAGCAACCTCTCTGCTCTCCATGGGTTCCTTGTGTTTCCTCACCTCGCATCCCTCATCTTCTGTCTTTGCACATCATGTCTGTCTTCTCAAGGACCAAGTAATCGTTCTAATCCACAGTCCTTTGATCACTGCTTATCCTCATCAACAGTAATGCCAGTGTCTGCCTCACATCTTCCTCTCGGACAATGGCACTGGCATGCAGACGTGATCATTTTCGCCTCACAGTTGACTAAGCCCAGTGAAGTCCGTGTTTTCTGAAGAGAATACAGCTGCACATGAGGATACTTCTAAAAAGTGGTGGAGATGCCAGCAGTGTGGCACAATGAGATTACTGTAATGTGGCAAGCCATGTTGGAGCACTGGTTTAAGTGCTTAGCTGCAGCACTTCAGTCCCTCGCTGGGATAACACACCTTGGAAAGAAAGTAATATGGTGCGATTACTTGGGCTCCTGTCACCCACATTTGAGACCCAGACACAGACCAGGTGACTACTTGCTGGCTTCAGCCTGGGGCAGCACGATGTAGCTTTGGCCATTGTGATTAGGAGAGTGAAGCAATGCTGAAATATTTCTTTCCTTCCCTCTCACTCTTTCTATTTGCCTGTCAAAT